TGCTTGGAGACAAGACGGACTTTTAAATGTCAACTCATGATTGTTTCTGGTGTTGCCTGGAATGCATCATACTGCACATCCAAAAGTAAATGCAAAATTTCAACAAATCTTGTTGCATACGTGTAACCTTTATTCCACATAACAATGACTGCACACTTTGTCCCAAAACTTGCATGCTTTATAGTAAATATAATTATACAAAGCAATTGAGGGGCTGGCCAGATACTTGGTCCAGAAACCTGTACACATACAAAAGGCACAAACTGTTCTCTTCTGGCACACTTCTGTCTGTGCAACGAAATTTAGAAGGCTAGCTTAGCAAACTCATTGGCCCAGTAGCAAATATATGAAGCCAGAAAATTTGTTGCAGCCAAATAGAGCAGTTGAACAATTGATTTTTTTCTCACCCAGTGCACTTAGATTTAAGTATTTTAGAACCATGAGTAGTCGAAAATAATGGGTTTCACCACATATCTGCGTTTAACAATCCAATTGTGGTTTTGGCAATGCCCTGAATTCTAATTCTACCCCAAATACTTGCAGAAAAGGCACAGTGAAGTAAGAAACGCTACAGTATTCTAGAATGCCTTCTGTCAGTCATCACTAGCAGTGTTAAACATGGTTAGGTATAACTGTAATATATCACACATGGTTAGGTATTTGCAAAGTTAGGTATAATTAGGTATGAAAGTAAAAAATCACTTGATTGTACTTACGGCATTAAATTCGAGAAGACAATGAACTATAGTTAAAAAATCATATTAAAACTAAATATTCAGTGAATATTACAGTGAAAATAAAATAATTGCTTTGTTACAGCCTTATTGCTGTGCAAAAAGATAAATTTTAAGTGACTAACTGCAGATTACACAAAAATTATACATGACATAAAACCTTAGGAAACGGAACTGACACATTTAGAGACGCGCTTTGTGTTTGCATTAAAACTCAGCCCTAAGAACAGAAAACCGCCTTTGCAGATAAGTTATGTGTGCAGGAGGACACAAAGTAAGACAATAATGCTGTCAGCAGCCCAATACCTAAGAATAATGAAATTTTGGTGCCTACAATAATTGGGTACGTTTGCATAGAACTGTTTGTGATAGTCGTGTTTCTAGACACTCCCATTTGGAAAAATTCTTCGAGCATGTTTATGCTCTGAGATATTCCACTCGATAGTTTATTTATGCTTTTCATGATTACGCATGCAAGGCAGTGAGGATCACCAAAACATTACTCCCTGGTGAGACAAACAGCCAGTGCTTGCTCTTCCAGCCGGTAGTAAAAAGGTAACCATTATAATGCTTGTCTATTGCTTCGGTCCATGATCAGATTACATGCGGCACCTCAGGCAGTAGTAGCTGTGCGCTAGTGCTCACTTTCCTGCATGCATAATGATACAAGCCACAACTATACTTTCCAGCGAGAGATCTGAGCACAGGCATGCCAGAATTTCTTTGGACCTATGTAGAAATGTGACTGGCTCAAAATTTTAATACGTGCATGGCTGCCTGCTGCAATCACTAATAAGTTCATTATTGAATCCTATTCAAGGGCACGGCTGACAATAATAACTATTGTTATTATTGAGCAAACTCAATGATACCACAACACATACATGATGGTACATACTTTCATCAAGTATCCATTGTAAGTAAACTATATTATTGAACATAAATTTGTTTTCAAATACAACTAATGTAGCTTTCTTCAGTCTGCTCACACTGGGACGATTATACCTATAATGTCAGAAATTGGTGTCCCTAAATTGCTATTGTGTGCTACCAAATTATTGTCATCAGTTCTGATGATTTTGGTTGGGTAAAATGGCAGTACCCCTCACCCAAATATCACAGGCTTTCTAAAGAAAAAAAAAACATTCGAGGCACCCATCTTGAACCACACACCATCCCAATAAAGCATGCAAGCTTCTGCAACAATCTCCGGGAACCAAAATCATGGAAGCTATTGACCTTGATTTAGAAATAAGATTTGATGAAACTGATTTCTGAATTTGTATAATTCTTCCAGTGCCAATAACCTGAAAACTTGCAGTCTATGTTTATTATTCTCAAATAAATATGGTGTCCAATTTTACATTTTAACAGTAATGCGTGCATGACTTATGCATGCTTACCATGGTTTATAATATTACCGCGAATTTTGAGTGATAAATAAAATATTCATTCTGCACATACCACAGATTCGGTCAACATCTGTAGCGCATGCCTAGAAACCTTACTTTATCCAATATACTGTTAAGCTTGTGATTAATAAAAAAATTTCATTGGAGGTGGTGCTATAAACTATTCTTAATGTTCGTACACGTAAAAGTGTTTAGCAAAGTTTTAACACCAAGGTTGGGCGAGGTGCATAAAATATTTAACAAACCAAAACAAAATACATAGTGAAAACAAGCAAAGTAATATCGATGGTGCTCGAACGCATGGACTAATGACTGAATTAGTGCTCGCACAATAAGGTACAGCAGTTTGGTGACATTCAGCCATGAAATATTCGTTCTAAGATACAGCTCAGAATAAACGAATGACTTAAAATGCACGGATTAAGACTGCATGAGGCAACCTATGTTGCTGGTGTATACCGAAAGCTGGAGTTTTACTAAACGAGCTGCATGAACACTTAAGTGTAAGTGCAACCTTTGCGAGCCCTACCTAAGACGATGCAACATGCTGCACACAAACACACATCAACTCGAATATCACTGTAGTTTAGAAAGAAGCATGCCGGCACGGATGCACACATCGGCATACATTCGGCCACTCGCCAGGAAAAAAACTTCTCTGATAGTAATCTCAACTTATAACGATACTGTAACTGTTTAAAGTGGAACGTACAACAAATGAAACTGCCTCATACACGTTCACTTCAATAGCGCACAATATGGACAGGCATCAACGCCTACTGCTAACAAACGCCACAGAATTAATAAACAAAACTAGTGGTCACTCGGGAGCAGGGCCCTTCTCCAACACCACTGCCAACAGAGGCGGACAGTCGCCTCAACTCTGCTTGAATCTGTCGCGGAATTCCCGCTACGAGTGCATGCTTCACACTCCACTCAAAAAAAAAAAAAACTTGTCTGCGCTTAATTTCGCACAACTTTGCCTTTACACTGCTGAAGTACTACAAAAAACTGGGCCCCCACGTAAACAAAAGCTCACTTATCGTGCACATGGTAGGAAAAACGTAGTGAACGCAGTGATAACAAAGTGCCGACAGCAGCAGTGCGGTACATACCTGGCGAGTGCTCCACGATACAAAGCCAAACGTCTTCGCTTGAGTATAGCACATTTTCCTAATCAGCAGCACTGGCAGAACACAAAACACGAACACAAAGTGCAAGCACACTTTTAAACACGAGAGAAACTGACTCAAACCCGCTCCTTCAAGAGGCGACTGAGCGGCGGGTAAACACGTCCAGACAAGTAAAATTGTTCTAGCCGCGCAGGCGCATACCATTTTTGCGCATCTCAATTTCTTAATGCTGACTAGGGAGCTCAACTATTACACTTAAATATGTAAAAAGTATGCAAAATTATATACTACATAAATATGTAAAGTGAATATTATTTTGATTAAAAAAAAAGAAACGTAGAAAGCACCCTGCATATATTGCATGGACAATCGAAACCTCATCCGCGAATTCTACCAAATGTTTCAGAAAATACCTTTTAGTAAACATTGTGAAAAAGACTTCTTGTAAAAAACGTTTATTCGTCATAAACTGTACCTAGATGACCTTATACCTTTTTAATGATTTCGAAAAGTTTGTACATTTCCCGTTTCTTGGGTAAGCACTTTCTATAACCCCGGGCAACTTTCTATTTGTCATGAAAAAAACAATTATGCCTTGGGCCCCACCGCTCCCCTGAAAATCCTGCCTACATGCCTCAGTTGCACTGTTCTATATTTTCTAACAATGAAATATATTTACACTGCATTGTCAAGTGCACACCATCGCACTCTCAATAAAGTTTTCATAAATGTTCGAACGCGAGTTGGGACATTACCCTTGACAAGCCACTGTATTCCAGTTGCCCAGCAGTGCCACAATGAGCCCAAAGCTACTACTTTTAGGCGAGCACATTTGTTCACCGTGTAACGCTTGACGCAGAGTGGAAAGTCTGCGGCTATGCACTGACTGCTTTGAATGAAATCGATTTCCACAACAGGTGTAATCTGCCTGATTTTTTTTTTCATTCAAGTGGATATTACAGACAATACCGAGTCATCAGTGGGTATGGAGGGAAGGCGTGGCTACTTGCGTGACTATGTGTAAAATGCGCGCCTATATTTATGCCGTATGCCTGGTACACTTTCTCCATGGGCATTGTGGCGAAACAGAGCAGATAACAGAACATTCAGGGCATAGCGCTGAGTATCAGTTTATTTGTTTATTGAAGAAACAGAGAATATTTAGGGAGGTGAACAAGAAACAAAAAAGCACGTCATCTGTGCTATCAAGTGACTCTGCTGGCTGGCATAACTATTATGTTGAAAACAGTGCCGGCTGGCCTAGTCAGGAGATAGTGTTTTTACCATTCTTTTTTTACTTGTTCGCCTGCCTGTGTAAACTCTGTCTTTCCAATAATCAGTTCTGCTGATAGTATGTGCTCTTCGTGCCGCTGTCTGCGCTGTTTTGCCACAATGTTTGTGGCCACCCAGGAATCCATCTTTTCACGGGTGATGGTGACGAAGGCCATGCTCAACTTCTTGAAGGCAACAGACTTGCCCCGGAAGTTATTATGACGTTATGATGACATGTGAGAGTGATTTGGTGTGTGCGTGCTCTCTTCTCTCTTACTCCATTTTTAAAACTCCCCCGCCGCTTTTACCAGTGCAGGGCGGCTTACCACCGCTTCAAGATTGGCTAAAATCACTGCTTTTCCCGTCTCTCCCTTCTCTCCACAGCTTTATCAACCTCGTTTCTTGTCATGTGAGCATCATGACTGTTATTTTTCTTTTTTTCTTTCTAGGTGTACTTCATGTGGATATGCCCATCCCATCGTCACTTCGAGTGGTTCATCGACGTTCTCCGAGATGTAGAAAGGAAGGACGTGACGAATGTTCTTGAAATTCACATTTTTATCACACAGTTTTTTCACAAGTTTGACCTCAGGACCACAATGCTGGTAAGTGCACTAAACATAGGCATTTAGGAATTTAGGCTCTAAACAACACCGGAGCATGGTACATGTGAATGGTTCAAGCAGCATAATAGTGTTGACGCTCTGTGTTTCTTTTCAGCCACAAAAGCATTATGCAGCTCTTCCTTTGGGACTTATTATGTTTACATGTTATTAGCTTGTGCATTATTGTCGTGACAAATGTGTAGCGTATTGCTCATAACGTGTGTTCATTTCGCTTCTCTATAAATCACCACAATGCCATTAAGTGGTACCACTAGAGCGGTTGGTCACGAAGACCTTTTCAGGGATGTAAAAAAAAAAAAAAGCCGTGCATATGGGAGACTTTTTTTCATTAATAGTTTTTGTCTCTTTACTTTTGTAAAAGCTTCTGTAAACGTTTCAATGGGAGGTCTTTACAAGTTTTGGCTTCTTTGCCAAGAAATAAACTGAGCAGGAAAATCGGGACAGCAACACACTGGCTGTGCATTGACAGAGGAAGCAGCGTAGCTTGTGGCGCTCCCCTTCTCCTCGCTGTTGTGTTTTGACTATTTAAGAATGAAAAAAACCGTGGACGCCGCCATGAGCTTCAAAACCACACAACCTTTATTTTCTTTTTCTGTCTTTGGCTTGACTAGCCATTAGATTTTAGAACGTCTTCGCTTGGCTACACTACATTCCCCCCTGTCTTAAAAGCAAGCTGAACACATGAAATATATATATATATATATATATTTAGTGGGAGTAATAATTCGAGGGTCCCGTTGCAGTCTTGTACTTTGGGACCCTCTTCTGTATATTTTACTCCCTGTAACATCCTTTTATGACATGATAATAAACTGATTGATTGATTGAATGGGCCAGTTCGTCTTCGTGAAGGTATGAGATATGGCACAACAGGAGCGTTATCAACAAGGATAAATATATTTATTTCCCAACAGTTTCGGGAGGGGTCCTCCCTTCATCAGGGGATGAGTTATACTGACATGAGCTTCCAAACTTCGTTGCTGCCGCGTCCCTCTCGCCTTGAAAAATGTTTGCGAGAGTGAGAGGGAACTGGAAGAAAAAAGGAGAAAAAAGACGAAAAAGAAAAAGAAAGGAAAGAAAGAAAGTAAAAAAGAGGAAGAACCACTGTCAACACTGAGAACGAAACCAACTGTCCGTCTACATCCACATACGGTTCATATCACGTGCTGTTCAGTTCTTGACATGTGTCAGGCCACCCAAGATTGTCGCCGCGGTGCCGGGAGGGTCCGCGACGGCGTACATAAAGAAAGGGGTTTCCCCGTAATGGGTCGGTCGGCGGGCGGCGTGCGTAAAAGAAGGAATTCCCGTTAATGGGTCGGTCGGCTATTTACCTTTAATCTTCGTCCGTTTCCCTTCAATGGTCATCAAGTGGTAGGCGAAGGTAAGCACTTTGTATGTGCATGTGGAAAAAAAAAAAAAAAGAAAGGACAGTGTTCACGTACGAGTCAGTCAGAAAAAAGCATGGTTTCCAGCTATCAATCTTTGTCACCAATTTTCTCCTGGCTTACTTCTCGGAGGCAGTTGAGTTTTCCGGGGTCCTCGTTGATGCCAGCTACTACTGTACGAAATTTGAAAATAAAATATGCCTCACGCTGTTCGCGCTCGCGTCTGTTTGAGAAACCGGACTGCAAACGAGTTACGCTGATATTTTCAAAACTGTGGTTTGGCAGGCGCAGATGTCTAGATAAAGGTAGCTTCGGCAGTGAAGTGGCGTGGTACCGGTGATTATTGAACCGCAGCCGGAATGGCGTGTCTGTTTGGCCGATCTATTCTTGTCCGCAGATGTTGCAATGTAGCATGTATATTACGTTATTGGAGTCACAGTTAAGGCTTTCAGTTATGCAGAATTTGAAATCCAAGAAGTTCGCTTTGGATTCACGTGTTTTGACCATCTGTGGGCATACCTTGCATCGAGCTTTCCCGCAGGGATGGCACCCTGATTGAAATTTGGGGGTGTTTGTTTTTGCTCTGACAAGAATGTCCTTCAGATTTTTATCCAGGCGGTACACCACGTGAGGTGGCTTCGCGAAAATAGAAGTTAGTCGTTTGCTTTGCCTGATTATGTTGAAATGGCGGGAAAGTATGTTGCTGATTCGTGGCGCTGATGAGGAGTAAGTTAGTACAAGGTTCGTTCGGGAAGTCGTTTTAGATACTCTGTTTGGTCCCTTAATTATATCAATCCTGTTCTAGTGGCGAGCACGTAGTATGGCATCGTCAATAATGTCTTCCGGATAATTTTGTTTCAATAAGGAATGCTTAAGGTGTTCCGCGTGTCTGTCAAATTCCCGCATACCGGTGCATATTCTTCGGTACCGGTAGGCCTGAGAATATGGAATACCCGTTTTGCAATGCTTTGGGTGGCTGCTGTTGAAATGTAGGTACATTCTACGGTCTGTAGGCTTTTTGTAAAGGGTTGTTGACAAGCGCATTTTCCACCGTGACAGTGACGTCCAAAAAGTTTATGCTAGTTTTGGAAATTTTGTGCGTGAATTTTATTGACGGGTGGCATTTGTTAAAATCCTCTATGAAGCGGAAAAGACTTCCCTCATCATGGTTCCATATCATAAAAATATCGTCTAAGTATCTTCTGTAGTAGAAAGGTTTCAAGGTGCGTCCCTCAATGAATGGGATTTCAAGTGAAGCCATAAAGGTGCTCGCGAAGTTTGGGGCCATTTTCGTGCCCATTGCAGTGCCACTGACCTGAAGGAAATGCTTGCCGTTGAACTCAAAATGGTTATAATTTAGTACAAGTTCAAGAAGTATAAACAGTACCTCGCCACTTACACTAGTTGATGAGTCAGATTTTCCATATTCAGAAACCATAGCCGCTATTCCATCATGGTGGGGTATGTTGGTGTACAGTGAGCAGACGTCCATGGTCACCAGAAAACTGCCGCCTGGGATGTTGAGACTTGAAGTTTCGCAGATGAAATGGTTTGTGTCCTTTATGTAATAGGGAAAATTTGGGGGGATGTTTTTTATTAAGGAATTAATGAATTCTGATATATTTTCTGTTGATGTGCTGTTACTGGATACTATCGGATGTCCTGGATTACCTGCCTTGTGTATCTTGGGGAGCAAATAGAATCGAACGGGAACAGAATGGGCTGGTAACATGCTCATTACGCTCACTATGCTCCGCAATGACCCGAGTCAGTTGCAAGGACGCTTCTAGTAATATTTTTTGCCACTTCCCCCTTTCTGCTTCACTTAGTGTAGACATTGAGGGGTTGCAGGCTAGGCGGAGGCCCTTAGTTGCAATTTCGTGAGATAGATATTTGGTTAGTTTCGCGTGTTTTTCATATTGCACCCGCTTTTCAATGATTTTCCTAATCGATAGAAATGAGTGGGACCATGCGTGTTTAAGACTGCCCGTACCTTTTGTTTCCCCGTGTCATTTGGAAGCCGCCGTTTTGGTCTTCGCCGCATTCGTCCGCCTGGTGTTCTTGAAGGCCGCCGAATACAGTGTCACGGAGGCCACGCAGAAATTGGTATCTAATCTCGGAGAGCATGAGGCAAGAGAACTGGAAAGATATGAACTAAAAGAGAGAGGCGAAATTTCAGTAGTAAAAGATAGAAAATTCAATCGGGACTGCAGAAGCTCCACTGCTCTGCAACAGGAAAATAGGAATGAGGCCGTACAAGAACGCCACGAACCACCCGTACCACAACCTAACTTTGAGGAGAAAAATGGGAACTCGAAACTACAGTGCGATTCTAATCAAAACACCCTTACTCTCGAATATGATGCTGACACTCCCGTGCCACGTGATAGCCAAGAGTAGCCAAAACTTATGAGAAAAATGTCCTCAATCTGTCCAACACAACGCTCACACCCGCTCAGCTTCAACTTTTGTCGAGAGGCTTAACCTTTTGTCCATGATCGAGTAGATTCAATGAATTTGAACTGTACCAAGACCTCGATAACTTTGCGCGTAATCTCCGCCTCCGTGAATACTTTCATGATCGCAAGGACTGTACGGACGAGAATAAAGTTATTGGTGGTGACAAATCTTGGTGTCCTGGTGTGCAGAGGGACAAATACCTCAATATGTATATATCAGCAGTTCAAAAAGTTATCATCAGAGCGTATGAAAAAAATCGGCCATCTCGAAACAACATATCAAAGTCAGAACAAAGGGCACTCGATGAACTACGAAAAAACACTGAAATTACCATCAAACCGGCTGATAAAGGGGGCTGCATAGTAATTCTAAACACGTCGGACTAGTTAAAGGAAGGGGAACGACAACTATCAGACACAAAATTCTACAAAGAACTTCCAACGGACACGACTCCCGAATTTGAAAGGGAGATAAAAGTAACCCTAAATAATCTCCGCCGGGACGAGAACATTATCGGCAAAATGCTAAAAGCAATGTTACTGGCCCATTCTGTTCCCGGTCGATTCTATTTGCTCCCCAAAATACACAAGGCAGGCAATCCAGGACGTCCAATAGTATCCAGTAACAGCACATCAACAGAAAATATATCAGAATTCATCAATTCCTTAATAAAAAACATCCCCCCAAATTTTCCCTATTACCTAAAGGACACAAATTACTTCATCTGCGAAACTTCAAGTCTCGACATCCCAGGCGGTAGTTTTCTGGTGACCATGGACGTCTGCTCACTGTACACCAACATACCCCACCATGACGGAATAGCGGCTATGGTTTCTGAATATGTAAAATCTGACTCGTCAACGAGTGTAAGTGGCGAGGTACTGTTTACACTTCTGGAACTTGTACTAAATTATAACCATTTTGAATTCAATGGCAAGCATTTCCTTCAGGTAAGTGGCACTGCAATGGGCACGAAAATGGCCCCAAACTTCGCGAGCACCTTTATGGCTTCACTTGAAATCCCATTTATTAAGGGACGTACCTTGAAACCTTTCTACTACAGAAGATACTTAGACGATATTTTTATGATATGGAACCATGATGAGGGAAGTCTTTTCCGCTTCATAGAGGATT